ATATAATATATTTTTGTTTAATTTATTTAATTTTCTTGTGACGTCCACTACACTCTGGAAACACATCAAAGGAGTTTCCCTTCTGTGTCAATATTTCATATATGGTAACGTCTTCTCTGTATACTATTGTGAACCTTGACTTTAAAGTTTGTTTATATTAAATAGCTCAGCTTTCGCAGCGGTCACCCATAGGAACCCCTGTTTCTTTTCTATGTACTTATGGTATTAAACCTATTGTACTATAGGCGAACCGTCACAACCTATTGCGATTTCATGGGGACATTACCAATCGTTGTCTTCGTCCGTACAGGAATCTTCTTCTTCTTCATATGCCTGCTCATCGTACTGGCTTCATTTCTTCTTCCTTCACTGTTCAAGCTATTAAACACTAGAACACACTCCCGCTTGACATAAGATCTACCCCAAGCAAGCTAGCTTTTAAATACAAATTGCGCACCAATTTCTGAGAAAAATCACTTTCCTTTTAAGCTTCTCCTGCTGGTTACTTTGTTTGAGTCGTAGATTGCTATTTTTTTACAACACAGAGAGCAAACGAGCATACGGCTCACCTGATGGTAAGCGACTACCGCCGTCCATGATCACCCACAACACCAAAGGTATTGCAGGTGTGCTGCCGGCCTTTTAAAAAGGAATATGCTTTTCTATTACAGTTGTTTTATTTAAATATTTTATATAGTAATATTTTATGTATGTATTTAGTGTATATCATATATGTATTTGTTTAATATATTATGTGTATGATATGTTTATAATATATGAATATATCAAGTATTGCTTTATTTCTCCTCTATTCAATAATGCACCGCCTACGTATTTCTTGGTTTGCCAAATGATTGACTAGTAGAGAAGACCGTCCGGTGTTAAGTCCGCCAAATGTACATAGAATTTTACTGTGCATTAAAGTTTAAATAAATAAAGAAATATCCTCCATACCTGTCGAATCTATATATATTACGAACGGGTTTTTCTCTCGATATTATATATAGGAAAACAGATATCTAATATATCTGTTATTGAGTCAATATATGTATAGATATTGTAACTACAATATATAGATACTACTATATAATATATTACCCACCCTTACACAGTAATATGCCAAGTAAGTTCTAATATTTTTTTTTGTTTTATCGAAGTTCTTAGCATTATTAGATATGGTATGGTTTTGTAACAATGGTAGAAAAGTATTGAATCGAGAATCCCCCGTCCCGTGAACAGAGCATGTGCACTCACTTAATCTTTCCTAATGTCCATTTGGGTGTTTAATTGTAGTGGCCAGGTTTCCCTCAAGAAATCTATTATATGGTAGATCCAATAATTTACACCTGATATAAATCAGCTAACTGGTAATTGATATAGTTCCATTCATTTTATTAAGAAATTGGCTAGTTGCTTGAGACCCTTAATTTTTTTTATAATATTTTTTTTCTATTTATTATCGAAGATTTATATTCTGTTACATCGAGATATATTAAGAAGATCAGGTTTGTTACTATAATAAGGTAGTTTTTTTTTAAATGAATGATAATGAAATGGTAACCCCGCCGGCGCCATCGGTATACACTAGCGAAGCGATATTAATTACGATGGTTTCCAGGGGGAATCGCGTAGAGGTCAACCTGATAGGATATATTGCTAGCAATGGAGATTAAAACCCCCATAATTAGCAATTTTTCTCCTCCTCTAATAAGGTAGTTAGGGATAACATTTCGTATTTTGCTGGTGACTGCTAACATGAGGTACTTTTTTTGGGACCAGGTTACCTGGGATGCGTGGTAATAAATGTAGGTTATGTAACCTATAATGTTAACTTGACATCTGGACATGATATAAGCATGATATGTAATCCCGTACGTCATACGGTGAAACTTTTTGTCGTTTATTGGTACGTATTTTATTGGGAAAATCATTTAGTTTCATCGGTATAACACTTTTATAAGAAAATGCTAATGATTTTATTCCCTTTACTAGGTCCGCATTTGAAAAACTACGCCACATCTTTCTCATCCAAAATGCCTCAAAATTTGACAATGAAGGTCACTAGTAACATACATTGGCATGTTGCTAGTAATGATCTGTGGAACCGAAATAAAATCCTTATCATACCTATAACTAACAACGCCTTTCCCGTACCAAATATATACTTTGAAAATTAAAAAGATTAACATATATTACCGAGTAATGACTGATAACAGAGAAACCTTCATCGTATTATCATACAAAAAAGTTAAAATTGCGATAGACATGTTTTCAGTAAATTTAAAAGTTTTACTGCAAAAGCGTGTTTAACAGCTGTTTATGTTTAAACTAAATAAAATCCGTTTCAATTAATAATAAAAAATGTTTAAAATAATAACACTTTATTACAGTTATTCTATTTATTTTGGCATAAATAATTACAAATAATAACAAATATACCAACTAAACAATATTTAATCACCAAGACAAAGTTTTGTTAAACTGTTTACATAGAAATTGTCTTAAATTATTTTTGTAATAAGACGTCAGAATTCCAAGGAAAGGAATCCGGAATAATTCAATGCAAATTTTATTCAAGGTTTTAACTGATTTTGATATAGATATGTATCGTTTATTAGCGTCAGCAAGGTGTCACCGGTAGGCGCCAGCAGTTTGGTTTATGGTTTGACGTTTACGACACTCGTAATGGTTTGTCAGTTTGACAAATGTACATTAATTCAGTAATAAACATGTTTAATGTTAAGTATATTATGCAACAACAATAAACATTATTTGTTGGTTTAAAATTAAATTATTATAACAATCAATAAGCAATTTACTTTAATGAATAATGTGCGCGTAATTTTCCCTCCATTTTGAATCTTCTCATTGTTATGATATCTGTGTGTAAATCGACCCAAAAAAATAGTATTTTTAAAAGGTGTAAATTTGCACATTCCGTGTCGAACGCATGTGTGTCATACTATTTTTTAGGCCTTTCTATCCTACTTTCATGTTTTAATTATAATACATTATTTTTGCAATGCATTTGAGGTCGTCACTAGATGGAGTGACGACGTCAAATACATTGCAGGGAGTCAATGGATACAAGTGGCTCAGAACAGTTCTTAATGACAATCTATAGGGGAGGCCTATGTTTAATAATGGACAATTAATGACTGAAATAATTATGATAACATTATTTGTAAAGAAGTCGCTATTATTAAACTCATGTGCCAACCTAATTATTTAATAACCAATCAATCAATTTTTATTGCAGTGTCACAAAAAACAATACACATACATAAAGAGTGAATAAGATCTTACAGTTATTTTGTGACGCCCCGGATATGCCCTTATTTGACAATATAGGCAGAGAGCCTTACAATTTATATTTAATTAATTAATATTACATACATATAATTTTGTGAAGGCATTACGAATTTTACTTTCATATCAGGTCTCTAAAAGGGTAAGTAGAAAGGACCGGGGGTCGCGGGTGTCTACCGTTTATTCATATTCTTATAATTATATTTATAGTCTTATGTATGCATTTTTGTTGCATAATTAACATGACGGAAAAAAGTTTTATGTATATACTGTATGACGTATGGGCATACATGTCATGCTTATGTCATGTACAAATGTCAAATTAACAATATAATTATTAATTATTATTAAGTCTAACATTTATTACCACGCATCCCAGGTGATCTGGTTCCTAAAAATAAACCTTATTGTTTTTTTGAAGTTTCCACCTCTTATGCAGGTCTCGCTTGCTTTTTCTAGTTAATTCTTACGACATGCTGAGGACAGAAAGAAATGGCGTATGTTATTCGGAATCTGATAAATCATGTTCTTTGTGGGTATTGGAAATTACAGTTTAAACTGTCACCATATCAGCCTTTACCTATCCACTGTTAAATATAAGAGTCTCCCCTAAATTTTAGCAGCAACCGTAGTTAGATTTTGGAGATGTTTTAAGAGGGGCACTGCTGCCCATCCCTCGTTCTTCCTTAATCGCCTCTTACAACATGCACGGAAAAGGAAGGGGTGGTCTATTCTATGTCGGGACCACGCAGCTTGTTTAAAGTATAAGTAGTGAAATAATATAAAAAAGCAGAAGCTGTTGTATAATTAAATCTGAAAAACTTTCATAAGCTACGCTATATGTATGCTACGTTACAATTAAGAAAGTGGTGAGAAGAGTTTGTGTGGGTTGTTATCTATGGATGGTGATGGTGATTGTCTATATTTGGTTATTATGAGTAAATTTTTCTTTTATTGAAAAAACATGATTACAAAAACCACGAATTTTAATAATTATGTAGATGAAAATGAAAAATATTTATTTCATAACAAAATTGGTACAATACAAAGATAAAAGGATATGTGCATATATACATTCTAAAACTTACGCTAGTATCCTTTTAAAGGAGAGTACTATCAATTTTAGTATGTGTAAAGTTTCTTTGAAAATATCATAATAATTTGCAGGAAAATTGTTCATTTTTCATGCTTAGATACTTATTATGAAAATTAAAATAGTCTCTTTGTTACATTTTCAAGGAAAAATCAAGTAGGTAGGTACCTAGTTATTTGAATAACTGCGTGATATACCTAAAGGATCCCTCTACGGGGTAAGTCCGCCATTATATATTTAATCTATTACTTAATGTGTCCAGTGTAAAGTACCTATGTATAATAAAGATTTTACAATACAATACTACTTACTTTGGTATCTACCTGTTAAATAGGCATTATAGAAGTCAATGTACAGCTACGCTTGTTATCCTATGTGACGTAAAAAGTGCCTTATGGTTACAATTCAACTAAGCATAGGCAGATAACAATACCTACAACCAGTACAGTGCATGCGCCGCTGCAGACCGCGTGTAGCTGCGTGAGCCTCAAGGCCGCCTGATGAGGACCTATTCGCGCTTCGATAAACTCTGAAAAGAATTTCGGACTATTATAAAACTAAGCGTAGTAGAGCCGAGTGCTTGCGAGTGCGGCCGAGATGGCGACCGAGCGCGGTCACACGACGCCACTTCTCTATCAGCGCCCTCCGCCTCCCTCCCTCCTCCACGGTCAGCGCGGCGCCCGCTGAGCGGAATTCGCACGAGCGTCGCGCCTCGCGTCTCCATTCCACTCGGTTCAGTGTACGTGCGACCGTTCGCGGCCGAGGACGAATTGCCGCGCTACGCAACACTCGGCTTATTACGCAGTTGCTATTATCGCTAACCGCGTGGACCTTTCCGAACGAACTTTATGTGCACCTCTTTACCTTTTGCGGCTCCTGCAAAGGCAGACGATTCGCGTATTATCCCCAAAAAGACTCGGTGATAACCCTTATCAGAGTGGAAAAGTTGTAAAGTGTAACCGAACTCGGAAGGACACCCGAATTTACGCAGTGGTAATATTATTGAGACCGTTGACAGTGGCTGTGAACATATGAGAGACAAAATTTGGTGTTTCAAGCCACGTTACAAGGTTATCGCGCTTCTAGTCCGCCAGTGATGAATTGGAAAATCGGCGCGTAGTCGCTCACGTGGTCGCGCCCCGCCCCCGCCTCGCCCGCGCTTATATTTAGCGAAAATCGCCTCTCGGGAGCGGCCCGACGGCTGAAGCTCTCTGCGCACATCGCTGTTTATGAACAGCGAGACGCCACATGTTATTGGCTTCAAATAACATTGCCGATAAGGACAAGACAGATAACCTCTCCGGATCACGGTTCGACTCCGACGACGTTCTGGAAATAGAAAGAAATCTGTTGAAAATCCGAAAGGAGAGCACGCTGAGATGCTAACGGCCGGTGTCGGCACGCGCCGGTGAGCGCTCCGACCGACACACCTACCAAAAAATTCCACTGATCGAAATCGAGGCGGCAAGATGTCTATACAAGGGGGCGGTAGTTATCACAGCCCGTGGTCTTCACAGACCGGGCTCACGGATCTAGAAGGCGCTATTGGTGAAATAGAGCCTCTGGGGGAGTTGGCTGAAGCAGGATTTGAGCCTCAAACTCGAGCGCGCTCTAACACGTGGCCACTGCCGAGGCCAGACAACTATATAGAACCGGGCGATGAGACAGGCTCTAAGAAGAATTCCAATCAGAATTTGGCCGGTAAATATCACTTGTTCAACCAAATGATAGTGGGGTCGCGGCCGCGATACCCGCAGCTATTTAGGTCGCCCACGTAGTCCCAACGCCCCGTTCGTGTATGGATCCAATAACAAAAAACATTGAAGAAGTCATATCATGCTATAAAAATAATGAAAATAACACTTACATAACATCGCACCGAAACTGTCGCAAATTTTTGTTTGTTTACAACAACAGTCTAGTAGATAGTGAGTTCGCGAAAACGGATGTTATCAGAATTCAGTATCTACCTTTACAGAAAGTAAATAAATAATATTTACAAAATTTTAAAATGACTAATATCGCATAATAATTATATCCTATTAGAGAATTGAAAGTTTAATTAGATATTCTTGTATTTTCAGTTCATTTAGAAAAATTCAAGAAAATATCTAATCTTTTTAAAGTGTTTATTGCTTTTATAAATATAATTTACCATCAAACAGGCTGTATGTATAGAGGAATAACACCTGAGTCCTCAGGAATGGCAACGCATGCGGGGTATCATGGGCGAAATAGTATAATCTATTATGTCCATGGTGCTGCTCATGTCTATAGGCGACGGTTACCACTTTCCATCAGGTTCCGTCAGCTTGTTTGTCATTCTAAGTTACAAAAAAAATTTTGTTTGTTACCTTCGTGGTATAAAAAAAGAAAAATAAAATTGTAACTATTTTTGATTTTGTTTATCTTTTGTAATACCTTATAGAACCATCATGTGTAAAAAATAATCATACATTGAATTCATTGTGATAAAGATCTTACATAAAATGTGATATCTATTTTATTTCATATTTGGAAAAAAAAAAACAAATAAAAGTAATTTTACCATAAACATTTTTAGAAAAAAAAAAAAAATACTACCCCCACATTTTTAAGTCGAAGAAGATGAATGCCAATTCATTCATTTGATACGTTGAAGAAACATAAGTAAATATCTACCTATAGAGAAACATTAAATAAATAAAAAATAGAATTATTTATCCAGAAAAAATGTCGAATGAACAAGATGTTTACACATCTAAGTCTGTGAATAATTTTCGTTTATTAGCAAATTTTGTAAGTTCACAGATTAATGTCATTTTAGTTTTACGATTATTGAAAAAATGCAAAATTATAATATCATCAAAAAGAGCATTTTAAAATGTATTTTCGCAAAAATTATTGAAATAAGATGGCACTCAATTATAAATTCTATTCTAACTTAATATTTATTTATCTTTAATAATAGAGTATGTTTTCTTTGTCTCTAAGAATGTAATTATTATCATAAAATTGGAGTCATGTCGTTATTGAAGTCATCACTCACTTTGGCTTCTCTTTAGAATCATTTACCATAATTTGGACAAAGTCATTCAGTATTATAAAGACTCCTTCAATCCTTGAATCGAGACCTATTCCCTAAATTTTCTTATAACTCTGTAACACATCTTTTGTAAATTTAATTGGATTTAATCCATTACGTTATTAAACTTATATATTTTGTCTAATTTGTCTTTTCTCTCTCTCTCTCTCTGTAGCTCTAACTCTTCTATATTCGAAATTATCCACATATTTTTCTAATAAACACAAACTTTTATCAATGACAGTTCTTTATGAAGTGTCTTAATAGCTTTTAGATCAAGATGCATTACTATTTTCTTTTGAATATATAAGAAATTGAAGGTTTTCTTTATGTATTCTATAAGGTTCATCTAGCTTTTAACAAATAATTTGCAACAAACTTCTAGGTATTGTTTAAGAATTTGCGTAATTATATATTTTTATGTATATACCATAAAATATATTGTAAGTACAATTAGCAAGTAAGGTCATTGCTCTTAGTAGGTACATATAAATACAAGAGTATAGGCACGCATTTTTATATATAAAAATGTACTATTTTTTATGGGTGATAATGGAATGGTAACCCCACCCGCGCTATCGGTATACACCGGCGGGGCACCAGTGAAAGGTGATAGGTGAGGATGAAGCAGGCCAGTTAGCCCATCGTGACGAATTCAACAAGAATTGTTCACGATGGTTTCCAGGGGGAACCACATGGAGGTCGATCTGATATGGCTGATATTGCTAGCAATGGGGCTGTCAAACTCCATTGCTAACAACCCCTTTCCCCTCATAAAAATGTACTATACCTAGTAAGAATTTGATCATAAACATTCAATTAAGGCTTAGAAAATAACAATATGACAGTACTCACCTCTTTCTTCGGCTTGGGCATTTACTATAAAGATTATATTATTTACCAGATTTTTCTATTTTTTTTTTACTTGCCTGTGTATACTTATTAGTAGGGCTTGTTATTATTTAGAGTCATGTTTCATTCTTTACATTAAAGTATGATCATATACAAAAGTCAAACTATTATTATAAACGATATTAAATAATTCCATATATTTACTTAGTTTTCGCTTCAAAATGACAAGAATTACTGTTACGTTTATAATATACTTAATATTTTTTTACCAGAGAGAAAATAGTAATTGCCACTTGTAGACCTATACATATGCCCTTGGACAGAATATCACAGGACTGAGACATTCTTGAAAACTAGTCTTATGCCTTAGCACATCATAGCAATGCCATTGATATATTTCATTGATGAAAGCAAAACAAAACCATCAGAATATAATGACCTGCCGACAAAATTAATTGATGAGACTGAGGTACCCCGTCAGATAACTTTGAATAAAGTACCTCTTTGGTAAAAATGAGATTTTTTCGTGTGCATAATATTTTAAGATATCAACATCATTTTAGCCATCAATGACCCTGAGCTAATTGCATTCGTTCAAACATTTAAGATATTCGGTCCATCTACTAGGGTATCGTTATACACTACATTTGCATTTATAGAAGCTGTGTTAGTCTTTTTGGTCTTTGTGAAGATATCCGCATTCCTAATTCTATCGCATAGCGAAACATACGATGAGCAGTATAAGACCATGTTTTGGTTCAATAAACCATTAGTATTCCTGACCACAATCGCCATATGTGTAACACGGACATTAGGCTTTATCTTAGTCTTGTCTGTGTTCATTTTAAGACCTACTCGTTGAAAAACACTTGTGATTATGAGGCAAATGTTAATGTCCTCTGGGAATTTCGCCACTATTATTAATTTTGTCTACACAAATTGAAGCGGAGTAAAATATTAGTATTTATTGCTCTATCTTAGATCACTTACCATCAAGTTTGAAATGTTTCAACACAGAAGAAATAGTATCCGAGATATGATATTTTATATATATTTCACACCTTTATGCCTTTGTACTGGTTTCGTACATTGATAATAGATATCGGAACTTTACTGTAAATAAACTGCAGCCCTTCGATATACCTACCGATATCTAATTTGTCACTGCTGAAAGGTCTGTAGTTTTGTCTACGTCTCGACCGAATCAAAGGTATTCTCGTTCGTCCACAAATGTCGGACATAATAATAAATGAGGGTAACTTTTGTAGGGTTTTCCATATGATTTATTTCTTTGCTTAGTTTTTTTATAAGTGTTCTTAGTGTACATTAACGCTTTTGAAATATTTTTTTTTGTGACTACCCTCAAATATTTTATATTCTATTATTTATCCTAATAAAATAAATAGAGTTTTTTTTTTCGAAGAACAATGACAGCGCCGTTTTGCTTCACGCCTCTGATATAAAAATCTAAATGACGTAATTAAAAAGTTTTCAAAGGACTATAGTTATGTTTTTCACTCTGTTCTGCTCTACCCCGTTGAGGCTCTGCTGTAGTTCTGTTATCCTTTAATACCTTGCCGTTTTTACAATGTTTGAATTTCAATCTTATGCCCAGGATATCATCCGTATAATGTTAGACGACTAGCTCTTATGTCAACATTCGCATTGGAATGCGGTATTAGCGTCGATATATCCAGCTATTCATGTAATATATCGATACCACTCAAAATCTCAGTTAAGGTGTAAATTGTCATCTATTTTACGAAATCAGCCTTCAATTAAAAAAGTTGGCTTTAACGAATATGTCCCTGGAGAATTATTAAACTGGATTATGTCATGCCGTTAATACTATACTATTTATTATGAAATGAAATAAGTTAAATATAATTTTAAGTAACTTTATTCAACGTATAATGACAAACGTCTAACAATCAAAATGCTATCCGTTATCTATAGAATTTACATGAACAGTTCTTGCATAAAATATAGTTTTGCAAAAATCTGGTAATAATTATGTTCAATTAAATACAAAGTATTCGTGATCTACTCGAATGTAAATACGTATATTACTCATTTTTTAAATTTAAATGTTTTTAGGGGAATTCTCTAGTTAAATCCTTGGATTTATTCAAATCAGTCTATAGCTGGATGCAATGATTTCATTAAACCGTCGATATTTCTTGTCTATCCCATCTCAGTAAATACACTGTTTCAGGTGCACCACCATTGCCCACATCGACAGTGACGACCAAGAAAAACTCCTCCCGTCGTAATGCGTGGGGCAACCTATCCTATGCCGATCTCATAACTCAGGCCATTACGTCAGCTCAGGACAATAGGCTAACATTGTCACAGATCTACGAGTGGATGGTTCAGAATGTGCCATATTTTAAGGATAAGGGTGACAGCAACTCTTCTGCTGGATGGAAGGTAAGATTAATGATAATAGAAAATATTTGGTCAAATGTTACTACTAACTCATTATCAATCAAATTATATAAAAATCAAATCAACGTTTAATTAACTAGTGCAGTTCTTAAAAAAATAAAAGAAGACCTCTAATTAGAGAGATCCGTACTTGTCAGGGTATAACGGAAAGGATAAAAAATCCAGATACCCTGCTATAGATAGAAACTAAACAACTTTTTCAAATAAAGATAAATAAGTACTGTGTACAAATTAATTGATTATTGATTTTATATTGCTGGCAACATACATTATATGAAGCCTATAAAATCAAACACAGCTAAATCCAAGTCTGTCAAATGTTCAGGAAACTACAAAAACTAGTATTTTGTCAAGGATATGGAACGATATTCTATATTTTAAACCAGATTAAAGAAAATTAGAATATTAGTAATAATTTGAATTATAATTATTAGAACTTTTAATTAAGATAAATATTTGAGTACAGTGTGAAAATGAAATCGATTTATGGCATTTAACTGCCTTTGATTTTATAGGCCTCATATAAAGTTATTTATAATTATTATTATTTAATCTTTATTGGACTGAATAACGTGTACAAATGGCGAGCTTAATGTCATATGACATTCTTTACTCGCTAACCATTAGTTCGAAACAGAAAGCAATTGATGGGCAGTAATGGGAAAGAACTGTCACTTTATAGCACCTAACACAACAACTAAGTATACAAAATACACATATTACAATAAAAACATATCTACTTATGTATAGATAGTTATACTAATAAACATGTAAATGTGTTTATTAAATATTCATTTGATGTCTATAAATTTGAGTGTTATATCGATGATTTTTGATTTTTCAATTGGACTCTTACAGGTATTTACTCTCTTGGTACACCAAAATGTTTACAATCTGTCTCCGACAGATTTCTAGTTTTCCGCGAATGTGGAGTTATTTTGTTTGAAATTATTTTTAAGGGCATTCCTCAGGTGATTCATTTGGCTTTAGGCCATTGGTGAGAAATAGTGGCATCGCGTCACTGTTATAACATACGCATTCGTATACGAAATCTTGGCTGTTGTATCTATAAACGCATCTTCTACTTATATATAGTATATAAGTACTCATAGCGACGCAGACGGTGGACATTTTTTCGCGGAGAAAATGTTCCCTTTGTGTAAAACCGTATATTTGCACAACATGTGTTCGTTGTAGCTTGTAGTTTTGGCACATTAAAATTTACGTCGAGGATTATTTCTGAGTTGTATTTAAGAGTTTGGCAAATATAAATAAGGAACACACCTGCCACCTCGAAATTGATTTTCACATAGATATTTTTAACGCACTAAACATATTGTGAAAGCAAACTAAATGTCCTCAAAATTCTTTTAAATAGTGAACAGAGTTAACACATGTTTATCCTCGTATGTATGTATATTGATGTGTTATAAAAACAAGCCTTATTGCATAATACCGTACAAGCCTTTAAAGTTAATGTTTATGTTATTATGATAAATGCGTAACTTTGTAAGGATGGATGAATAGATGGATGTTTGTAACTCTTTCTCGCAAAAACTACTGAACGGATCCAAATGAAATTTGGTACACGGATAAATTACATTCTGACTTAGCACATAGGATATTTTATGTACTGATTCTTACAGATGAAGCCCCGAGATACAGCAAGTGTAAAATAATGTCAAATCTGAAATTACTGATTTTAGATTATTTTCTTTCGAGAATTAAATATCCATACTTATACATTAGAACAATGCATAACATTTATGGTACTGTATTTATGTAGGTTTCTAATAATTACTCAATTTTCCTCCTGTACACGATAATCGTCTACCGTACAAGAATGACGTTATTCATTATTTTAAGTATTTCCTTGAATTGTTCAATAATATAACATATTATATTTGATGTGTACACTGCCTAGGTAAGTACATAAATTCATGCTTTCAAATTATCTGTGTGTGGGCTTTAAATTTGATTTTTCTTGACGTTTTCACAAAAGTTACTTATTTTCTCGTGTAAATAAACCATTTTTAAGTAAACAGACACCGTGTTACGTATTGTGATTAAAAAAAACACTAAAAGGTCGGATACTGGTTAACAGGACTCCGGTAGTCTTAATTAATGTACGAGTATTGGTTGTTCATATCCCTTTAGGTTATGTTAAAAAACCGTAAATGTTTATGTTTTGGAAACATTTTTCTCTCCGTGTATTGAACTCTGAAGATAGTCTATATTGTTATTATTGAAGGAAAACCCATATAAATGCAATATAATATCAACTAATAATAATAACATTATAGTAAGAAGCGTTACGCATTTCGTTGTACTTACTGCGCAGTGGCATTTGCTATCTCAATCCAAGCTCTGACACGACCGATATAAATGATAATAAAAAACACTATTACACACTCAATTCTCAATCTATATAACGACATAACCCCTATATATTCAGTACATTGCTGATACGCAAGGCGCGGCTAGCAAAAACGATACAACAGGCACGTCGATGTAGCTGACATTATGAATACTTTCCAAAATTTAAACACATCGTGTGGTCACATGACGTTGACACGCCTTCGCCGTCGAGTCGAAAAAATAGATTAATTCTGCTCCTCGTTCAATTCTTTACATTATTTGCGTCTTAGCGTTTTCATCTATCGAAATATCTAGCTTATTGAAGATTTGGATACAGCCGCGAACTCGACGACCTTCAAATTGGAACCCATGGCATTGATTAATGTTTACGCATACAATGCCCATTCAATAGTAGGAAATCCATTAAACAAATGTAAGAATTATTTTCTTAGACATAAAGTCTAGAATCAAAGCACCATGCACTTTGTCATTGTGAGTCTAATTAATTAGCAAATCGTGAAACCAGCCCGTCTCATTCGAGCATTGTACGTATTAGATTTGAGTGAACGAGAGAGATAATATGACACCTCGTAAGGTGAATGAATCGTAAATTGTAGTAAGTGCTAACTAATTCTTTTCAGATAGTTGAAAAATATTTTCTATTTCCTGAATAGATAATAGACATGATACTTAGCTCAATAACTTAAGGGCTAGCGCTCACTTATATACTATATATATACTAACTACAGTTAGGGATTTTAAAGTAAAAAAACGAGAAAGAATAAATTAACGTCAAAATTTCTTTTATAGTGTTAATAGTAATATTTTGTTCTAGTCTACGCCGAAAATTTGGAAAAATCGTTGCAATGCGTTAAATATTATTTACGTGTTCTTATTGTTTTTTCATGAGTGGCAACTAAGGAACTTAAATGTTGAGGGCTAGCAACAGCCTCCCTCTTAATATATCACCAAAGCCTAACTGCGGCTGCCAACTCTTCTGCCAAGCGTGGCAACTACTGGCAAAGCCTCCTTTATAGGGGATACCTATGTTCAGCAGTGGACAATTGATGTAATTCAAATAATACAACTTTTATATAACTTGATAATGGCTTGCTTTACAATATTCACTTGGGCCATTGAATGATTACTGAATTGACATTGTTCAAGTTAAGTATAAATACAATTTTCAGGTTACTAAATAATAATAATTCTAAATTCTCATCAGGATTATACATTATTACAATGTCAACTTTCCTATATTACACAGTCACTGTGATTGTGTACTGTGTACAAACGAGATATTATTATCTATAGATTTTCCTCAAGAAATGCATGGCAAAAAATTGAAAAACCCGTCCATTTTCCCGAGATCAGCGCGTGTCGGGGTCATCGGTATGGCCAATTATAACTAGACGGTTAAGTTACTCTTATGAGGGTACATATCCCAATACTGGCGGCAGGGGGGGGGCTTGTTAGTAATGTGGTCTACCAGTTCCATTGCTAATAATATACCTTGTCCTACAAGTTTTGTTCTCTAAAACATTATTTAAAATAATTTAGAAATAAGTAAAATAATTATAATTTTCCACATGGTCCCGTCATGCCAAAAAATACCTAAAATCTGTTTACAATCGGTGAAGATATTGTCTTAATAAATAATTATTTTCCGTAAAAAAATTACTTCAACTCTTCTTTTAAGGGTTGTATATTTTTGATGAATACAGAATACAAATGGAAGTCATAGGATAGCTAGTTTTTTTTTTTTATAAATGTAGCCTAATAGCCTCCGGTCACTAAATCATTTATGTAGATAGGTTAATAAAAAATTAAGATACGATATAGAAAGTTCACGATAATCTGCAACTCTTGAATTGCCATAACGAGGATATAAGTTGAAAGCGGTTTTGCATTCCATTACACTTTTATGACGAACACAAATAACTTTACGGTTGCAAAATCAATAATTGTACCCATACTATTTTCGGTTATTAGAAGATTAGTTTAAAAAAATCTTAAAAACCAATTAAACAATTTAACTGCTACTATCAACGAAAATGTTATTTCTTGTCGTGTGCAATTGTCTGTCAGTCAGTCAGTTTTACTTTTGTTAATTAGATTTGAGTATTTTAACATTTATTTTAGATAAAAACTGAACTTTGATTGTTTACGACTGTCAGCTGACAAATATATTAAAATATTATTACGTAATAATAGATTTTGTTCCATAAATAAAAAATACGGCCTTCAACCATGGCAAAACCAGTTAATTTGATTTAAAAACTAAACTATTAAATCGATTTTGTTAATTTTTTTATGGCACCAATATGAAAGTAAATTTTTTCAGATATAAAACAGTTGTCTTGGTTTATAAATTACAAAGTTATAAGGTAACAAATATAAAAAAAAATACAACCGAATTGAAAACCTCCTCCTTTTTGGAGTCGGTTGCTTAAACATGCGTGTGTGTATTTGAAATGTATTTAAATTTGTAGTCGTTTTAAAATGCAGTTAAAATAAGTCAAAGGCTAAATAGAAACGACTGGTATCATGATGTTTTCTTGATCTTTGTGAGTCGCTATTCAATCACTATTTCAACGCTTGATACTTTTGTGTTTGGACTGCAA